GCGCCATATGGCATGAGGGTAAACTGTGTCTGGGAAACCTGACAGTCTGGCAGTCTACTTTCCCTCCCTCTTCACCCCACCCCACCCCACTTGACCAATGCCCAGAAATCCGAGGGGCGCCCCGTGGCTCCACGATAGGCACCGGCGGTCGCTAGGGGGTGATGGAGGGAGGAGGAAGGAAGCGGTGCCTTGCCAGGGGGCGAGGGGGATTTCTCCTTTACCTGCCATGTTGCGCTGCAAATGGTGACCCTGCTGGGTTCCTCGGGGTCTCCGCTTCCTGAACTCACCCCCCTCACCTGGGGATGGGGGGGTTGGGAGGGTGGATGGCGGCGGATGGCACCTGTGGGGGGAGGGGGCGGGGGCCGGGGGAGCAGGAAGGAGGGGCGGGCAGACCGGCCAGCAGGATGGTGGATTTCACTCGGGGGCTTCCCCGCTCCTGCTCCTTCTCCGGCGGCGGCGGCAGCGGCGGCGGCTACGACAGCGACGGCGCCGGCGGCAGCAGGGGCAGGCGACTCCACTTTCAAAATGGCGCCGGCTGGCCTAGCCAGTGACGTCACTCGCAGGGCGGAGCCGCCGGAGCGGAGAGCGGAGGGGGAGGGGCGGGGAGCGGCCGGGCGGGCTGCGGGCCACGCCCCCTTCCTGCCGCGCTCGGGCTCCGCCCCCCGCGGCCCGGCCAGCCGGGCCTCCGCTGCGCCGCGTTCCCGTGGCAGTGCGCGCCCTGCCCGCCTTGCTTGCGGCCCATCTGCGCCTCGCGGTGTCCCAAGCCGGGGCTCCAGGGCGGGCTCGGCTGTCCGGTTACCGCGCTCGCCCGCAAGAGTTCACGGGGCACCGCGTCTCTCTAACGAACGCCTACATTGCTGCTTAGGAAAGGTACACCGTGGGTCCGAGTAGCCCTGAGGCCACTGAAATAAAGGGACGGTGGTGCAGACACGCTGCTCCGCCAAGGTGAAGGTTCCCGGGTCTCAGAAGGACACAATTGGGCCGGTTCCATGTGGGTGAATCAAGTCACCTTCGCGAGGGCCCCAGGAGCCGAGACGACAGTCCCTGGCGACCGCAGCGCCGAGAGTGGCTGACAGAACCGAGCGTGTGGTGAGCCGGACGTGGCCAGAGTGGCCCGGGTCTGCCTCCGAAGCCAGGGGACTCCGCGCCGAATGAGGCCCCGCCTTATAGGAGGTTGTTTCTGAGGTGAAATGACTTAATTTGAGTACGTGGTGAATGTTAGCTGCGTATGGAAAGCGTCTTCAATAGAGTTGAGAGGCAGAAGGGAGACAATGAACAGTCAAGGCTGGTCACCAGCCCAGAGGGGATGTGCAGCTGGTTGAAAGATGTTGTAATGATGCAGCTACTGTATGCACACTTGACATATCTCACTCACTCTCCTCAATACACCTGTGAGGTAGATATCCACATTTTACACGTGAGAAATACCTGCAGAAACATCCAGAATTTGACCTTGGGCTGAAGGGAATGTTAAAGGCACTTGGAGACCAAGAAGGGGACGTTTAAGATATTTGCACATCCTCCCCCTCACATCTCCACTTTCCACCTTATTTTCGACTTCCGGAACAGTTCAGTGATAACACAATGTTTGAAATTCCTCCACAAGGAACAGCTGCACCATTACACTAGTATTCCTCCATCTCTACACCAACAGTTCTGACTCTACCAATGAATCAACCGAAACTAAAAATCCACCCTGTATCTGTCGTCCTTCAGCTGTTTGTACCAAGTTTCAATGCACCGTTTGTTGTATTTTCTTCTATTTTGGTGGCCTTCATGAAGGTGTTTCTCTGGATACGCCTTTACCATTCGTTTTCCTTTTCACTTGCTTTGCCCTTGTCTGATAGTTCAGTCTCCCATTCTCAGGTGAGAATCTCTCTCCATCTTACCCAGAACGAGAGAGACAGAGAGAATGACTATATAGAGCATTAAACCAGGGGACTGGTACCCCTGTAGGCAAATCATTTTTCTTTTTTGTGCTCCAGTTTTTGCCATGTGTAAGATTTGCATTAATATCTTCACACATCCTGAAAATAACTTGGTCCACGTAAACAATTTGTTCATAGAAGCCAATAAAGCTGGCCTAGGAACTGGGATAATCATAACAAAAATTCATGTAGCACGGACTGTGTGCTGGGTGCTGTTTTAAGAACATTGCACAGAGCCTCACAGGTACTACCTGCCTACAGAATGTGCTGAGATGGGTCTAATAAGCCAGGGTCAGTGCACCAGGGAACCCTGGTAGAAGTGACCTGGCACTCTTTGGCCCTGAGCAGCCCCTTAAGGGGACCACACACTGCCTCCCTTTCTTCTGAATGGCCCTTAGGAAGAAGAGAGGTCCATATATCCAGAATGCCCACTGGCCCAAAGTCAGGGGTTGCTCTTGTCTGTCTCCCCTTCCACCTTCTATCCTCCGTCCCCACCACTTCGCTAAAATGGCCTCTGTCAAGATCATTAATGATCTCCACGTTACCAAATCCAATAGTCACCTCTCTGTTTTTATCTTTTTCTACTTCCCAACAGCATTTGAAACTTGATCATGTCCTCCTTCCTGATACTCTTTTCGTTTCCTTGACGCTTTATTGGTCCTCCCCAGCCCAAATATTCTAGCCACCCCTTTTAGTTTCTTTTGCTGGCTCCTTCTCCCAAACCAGCCTCTAAATGTTAGGGTGGTCTGTCTCCCTGTGCTGTTCTGGGATCCCTTCTCTAACTACACATTCTCTCAGGTAACCTCGTTTAGTCATATACATGTAAATACCATGTTATACCATGTATAAACCAAGAACTGCCAAAGTTAGATCTCCAACTCTGTCCTCAGCTTGGAACTGCAGGCACACACCTCTGCCTGCCTACTTGATGTTTCTACAGGTGTCCAATTAGTGTTCCAAATATAGTGCTTCCAGAACACGAGTCTTGATTCCATGTCCCCTCCATACTATAACAAATGCTGTCCCTTTCCCTGGAACACCACCATCCACTGACCCTGCCACCTCTGAACCAACACTTCCACATGCCCATCCTTCTTCCTTCCTCAGCCAGTAAAACTCCTTCTGGTTCTTTAAAAACCAACTCAGATATAACTTCCTCCAGGACAGCTTCTCTGACATTGTTTCTCCATTTCCTACTCACCTTAAGCTGAGCTGGGTGCCCTTACAAAATACTCTCATAAAATCAAATGCACTTCTCTCTTTCTAGACCACATGAAAATTATCTAAATACACATCTGTTACTACATTGAATTCTCTGAGGGTAGGAAGGATGCCATACATCTCCATATCACCAGCCACATAAATTGTTAGATTAATAGATGAACGAATAAGTCTCTCTGGCTCGGGAAGAAAACCACTGAAAGGTTGGCTTCTTAAAGCTTGTCATATCATACATGTTTTCACTCACTCTTCCTAACTCTGGAAGAAAGAGACGTTTTACAAATGATCTTGGTCATTCTGATCTATTAATACGTTTGTTAGGCAACAGTTGGTTAAATATATGAGTTGCTTATAGACAGATTTGTTCCGGCTACTTCCAACTGATCCTTTGTCTTCTGAATCCGTATTATTCAAAAGGATCCTACAGAACACCATTCCCTCATCCACATGCTGTCATGCAAGTTTCTTTTTCATGTGAACCACTAGGCAGAACTTCAACACCTGACCTCAGGTAAGATGTACAAAGTGTAATAATAGTTTCCTGCAGAACTGAGCTCAGCTTAAGCACATCAAGAGGAAAAGTCCCCTGGATTTTCCTGGTGAGGTCCTGGAGAGTCTGTTTATCTCAGAAGGGTTCTGCTTTGGGTCTGAGCTCAGAGGCAGTAAAGGCACCCACAATCTCCCCAGCAGCGTGGAACTAACCAGACTCACCCATGGGTTACTGCTAGACGGCTTTTTAAAAAGTATGCTACACAACCAGAGGAGAAACGCTTAAAAGTTATTCTTTTCCTTGATGAAACATGTTTGGAATTGAAATGAACACAAACCCTCCTCCACATTAAATGAGAAGTGGCACCGTTTAGATGCTTCTCTCCTCTAGGTGGTAGACCCAGGAGTACCCAGGAAAGACCATGAACTCAAAGGTAAGACAAGAGGTCCCTGATTAAAAGTTGTTGCAGTTTAGAATGTTGGCAAACCCACCACAGCTATGCTTTCTGACCCGAAACAGTTCCAAAAATCTTACAGGAAAAATTATAAGCAGTTGTCAGCTTTTTACATACTTTTTTAATAGCTACAAATTTGACCTGGAAGACAGCTTCTGAAATCTCTGCAGGGACTAGACTATAGCAATAATTCACACCACATTGTTCAAGGTATAGAATTCACTATAAAATAATCCAAGTATCCTACCCTAGAAGGTGTTTAAGGAAAACCATAGTGAATCTACCAAGCAGATTATTATGTAGTCAAATGTTTGTAAAAAACAGGAAATTGCTTGTGCCTCAGAAGCTGGATACAAAATGCAGATACAATGTGATCACAAGTATGTACAACAAACCAACACAAAATACGTAGAGCTGAAAAAGACAGGAAGGAAATACACCAAGGTGTTCACAGCAGTGTCTCTGAGCAGTGACACAATGGATAATTTTTTCTCTTTCAACATCTGAGTTTCTCCAAAACAGTCTATAGTTAACATATGTTAAAGGGAAAAAATAAACTTAATTTTAAAAGTCCATTCTAAGGCTATTATACCTATATGGTGGAAATTGGTCACAGTGGGGAATATTTACACTTCGAAAATCAGCAAATGCTAGAAATTGGGGTGTCTCCCCAACCCCCAGAAAGGTGGTGGCTAAACATTTACCAGCACACTCCTGCCTGTGGATTCATTGACTTCCACGTTACCAAGTCTCTGCCCTTCAGTTATACTCAGCTTTCCTCCCTAATCAGTATATTTTTACCCTAAACCATTTCCTTCTGTTGACATGTTCCAGTTATAATGACCCTCCTCTCCGTGATGAGTCTGACCTTTTTATCTTAAAATTTCAACTTTAGAATGTTTACTAAAATATGCTTATACATCATTATGAACCTTTTTCCTATTAGGATGGTAAAACAGTGATGTTAGAATTTGTGTAAGCATGGATGAAGACTGACCAACTGACATCAAACTAAATCTGTGCTTACAAATAAAGGTTGTTTTTGAGTGCATTAAAGACTGATTTGGACATGCTAGGGGCTGTTTCTTATTCATTTCTAACTATGCTGCCAGTAAGTATTTGCTCCCATATTTTCCCCCGTAGGTTGGTCCACAACTCTTCCCCAGTGTTTGGCAATGCGCTTTAGGACTTAAACTATTGTTTCTGTGCTTCAACCTCGTTTTGGACATCCATTACCCTAGGTTTATTGTAACTTGCCATTATTCACTCATATCTAGCTCAGGGCATTCTGTGGCAAGTCATGAGAAATTCTTCAGTGCTAATAGCTCTTCCGAGACCCCATGGCTGGAGATTCTGCATTGTCCCTCATTATTCCATTGGACTCAATGACAACACTGATGGAACATGCTTCCA